CCACCCCCAGCACCCCGGGGAGCTCGCTTCCATCACCTTTGTAGTACCACCACATATACACTCCCCGCACCCCGCACTTCCACGCAGGTCTGTCTGTCTCTCTGTGCTTCGCCTTCATGGGCTGCTGCACCTCTAACTGCCCAGCTAGGGGAGACCTGCAGCAGCTGTGCCCTTTTGGTTATGTACCTGTCTTCCTCCCCAAACCGTTAAATCCCAAGGAGGAAGAGGCTCCGCTTGTCTTGCTCACCCCCACAGCCTGGTGCCCAGCACTTGCCTCACTGCTCCCATCTGGGCAAGGTGGATGGTGCCTGGATACTGACCCAGCTCTGTCTCTGTGGCCGCTGCTATGTCGGGCCAGCCGCGGCAGGTGCCCTGGTAAACGTTTGGGGATTGGAGAAGGAGGTAGCGTAGGCTCCCGAACCACCTACCCCGGCTGGATGGGGTCCTCCAGGCGGTGCTGCTGCACCTCTTGGCTAATGGCCGCCTTCTGTGGTAGGTGATTTGGGCGCCTCTGGCGCCTCGGGGAAGCCGAGTGCTCTCGGGTCCTCGTGGCACCTGATTGTCCACTGGCCTTGTTCTTCAATGCCTCCTTTACACTCTGGTACTGAAGATACAGACAGACCCAATGGTGCTTTGTCCTGGGGCAGGGACGGAGGAAAATGTCTCAAGGCCGAGTTCAGAGAGCCGGCGCCGGAAGGCTCAGCCTCCAGCCCCCTTCCTCGCCCGGGGGAAGGGGTTACGGGCGTGGGGTGGCGCGTCGTAACCCGCAGGACCAGGCAGCCTGGCTGCTGTGGGGCGCCAGGGGCCGCGTGCACAGGTGCCCCCAGTCCGCCGCGAGAGCGCAGCAGCTTTGGCAAGTCGCACGGCCGAGCGCGGCGGCACCCCCTGCTGGCCGACTGCGACCGAAGGCGCCGCTGGGGCCAGGCCCAGCCGGACTAGCGCTCCGCAGACCTGGGCGCCCGCGGTCAGGCCAGGTGCACAGCTCTCTCTCAGGAAAACAGGAGGAGGGAGGCCGGCCCAGGTTCCTGGCTGAGAGAGTGCCTTGAACTGGCATCTCACAGGGCTCCCGTGAAGGCTCGATGGGCAGAGGCATGTCAAGCACGCCGGATGTCTGGAACACGCTCAGCCGTGCAGGCCCACGAGCTATTGATGGGCACTCTGTGGAGAGCCCTTGTGGAATCCGGCATCTGCGTCTGCAGGGGCCGCGTGCATCGGACGGGAACGGTGTGAAAGGTGCACCTGCCGCGTCCCAGTGTGGACTGAGGGGCAGCGTCTGCTTCTTCCTCAGCAGGTGGTCTCCAGGTGTAAGGACCTCCACGGTCACTTTCATGGATTTGGGGATTTTAGTATTTACCAGGGATGGGGGAGAGGGGTGAGTAACACACGGGGTCCCTTTGAAATGAGCTGCATGGCTCTGTCCTGACACCAGGGCTTCCTGAGTAGCAGTGCCATACCTGGGGCACCTGCTTCTACAGCGGAGGAGAGAAAGAAAGTTGGAGTTAGAGGGCAGGAGGGGCTGGAGCAGCTCCCGTTGCGCCCAGGGCTGCGGCAGGCTGCCAAGGGGCAGTTGTTCCAATATCCCTTCCAGGCCTGGGCCCAGCGAGCTCTCAGAGCTGGCAAGGCTCATCCCCCAAGATTGGAATCAAACCGCTTCTCCGAGCTCAGGGCACCTGTACTTCGCCCGTGTCAGAGGTCTCGCAATGCTCTGAAGTACCCGCCCCTGCAGGGCGCTAGGTGAGGAATGGAGAGGGCGTGCACAATAACTGGATGGGGCCATGTGTCCTGCACCTGCAGGGTGGGCCTGCTCCTACAGGGTCACAGGGCTGGTGAGCGCCGGGCACCATCCCCGGCTGCCGTCAGCCCGCCTCCTCCACCCCACTCCTCGGCCCCTCCACCTGCCCATCCTCTGGCCCCTGACCCCACCTGGCTACGCATCTCCCTCAGCTGTCACTCCCACCTCTCCTCCTCCTCTGAGCCAATCTTCTTCCCACCTCCTACAAACAGCCTTGGCCTTGCCTGGAACTCACTCCCCACCTTTTGGGACCCACCATCCGTGCTTCCTCCTTGGAGAAACTTTTCCGGACTGTCTTCCCCCCTCCCCACCCCCACACCTGCCCTGGCTGGCTCAGGTGTCCCCGTGAGCCACCATGTCCTCCCAGATTTGCTCCCTGTGGAGAGGATTCCAGTGCCCATCCACACCTGCTCTCCCTTTCTTCTGAGCACAGGGGATGCTCTTTCTTGCCCTCTTGGTGGGCAGGTGTGGCCATGTGACAAGCTCTGGCCAATGAGCTTACAGCAGAGTGAAGCGTATTCTTTTTAGGCAAAGAGCCACTTCCTCGTGCAGACCTTCCAGAACTTTCTCCCACCCCCCCCCACCCCCCACCTCCATCATGGCAGCATGACCAAATGTAGGAGGCTCGGGGTCCAGGCAGTCGGGATCACTGAGCCACCTCTGGACGTCACCGCACTGGACTGTCACCCAGACCCGCCATGGACTTGATGTAAGTGAGACAGGAACTTCTGCCAAGCCAAGTTTCTGGGGTTGGTGAGGTTTGTTTCCAGGGCACAGCCAAGCCTGTGCTGGTTTGCCCATGAAAGGAGCCTGTGGACTGACTGGATGGCTTGGGGACTGTGGAGGTCGGTGTGTGCTTTACTCTTGTTATCCAGGGGCAGCAGGTCTCTGGGGGGCAGGGACTTTGCTGGGTGAGCCCAGGGCAGTGTGGTGACAGCACAGGGCTCAAGGCAGGGGTGCAGAGGGGACAAATGGGCAGGGCGTGCTGTGCAGAGAAACTTCCTTCCATTTATGATTTGCCAAGGGCTTGCCCGGGACCTGTGTACATATTTAATTCCTGCTGAAAGGTTACATTGAGCCTGCTGCTGTTGGCAGGAGACGGATGGATGCTTCTCCCAGGTATTGAGTTCCTCTGGTTGTGAAAGATAGGATTTTCTCCTGGATTTGTGCTCTCTCTCCTTTCCCCTCCCCTCCCCCCCCCCAATACACACACAGCCACTGACACTCTGGAAGTCTGTAACATAATATTTTCATATCAGTTTGGTGCTGATGGGATTGAGGCCCCAACGTAAATGTCTCTCTCCACCTTCAAGAGAATCACAATGTAGCTTTGTTTCTCACTGGGGCCCTCACCAGGTGGGCGGGGCTCCCATGAAGATCTGATTGATGCCGAATTCTCAAGGCTGTTTCTTCCTAAAAATGCTCCCTCCCCCTCCCTCCTCCCTGACTCCCTCTCTCTTGTAAGATTTATTTTATTTATTTGAAAGGAAGAGTTAGACACACATAGAGAGAGGATCTTTCACCTGCTGGTTCACTCCCCAGATGACCACAATGACAGGAGCTGGGCCAGGCTGAATCCAGGAGCCTGGAACCCCATTGGGGTCTCCCACATGGGTGCAGGGGCCCAAGTACATGGGCCATCTTGTGCTGCCTTCCCAGGTGCTTTAGCAGGGAGCCGGATGGAAAATGGAGCAGACAGGGCTTCAACAGGTGCTTTGACATGGGACACCAGTGTCGCAGGTGGCGGCTGAAGCTGCTACACCACAACGCCGGCCCCTCTGTGACTTTCTTCTAACTCATGGTGCTGTGGGGCTCAGTCAGCCCTGTTTAATGAGCAGCTATAAGGTGCTGCTACCTGAATGGAAGTGGGTCGGTGCCTGGTTCTCCTCACCCACCTTCCGTGGCCCGGGGCTGTGGTAAGGACCACTGCTGAGGCCTCTGGGCCAAAGGGCAGTTGAGGAAGCTGTGGTGCTTGGTTCACTCTGCCTTTCCCCTCGCCTGTTCGGGGGGGGTGGGGCAAGGAAAGATGGCGTCAGAAGCTCCCTGCAGACTCTCCCCTTCCTGCAGCTTTGTTCAGCCCTTGAAGGGCTGGATTGTGTGGGGAGGGGGACAGGTGGTGAGGGGCAGGCTCCCTAGGACTGGGGGACTGGGGAGGAGAGAAGGGCAGCTGGATGGCACAGATGTGGGTGTGTGCAGGCAGGGGACCCCAGCCCTGGGTTTACTTCCACAGGATTTCTGGCTTGGGGAAAGGCAGAGGTGGGGGCAGGGAGAGGCCTCAGATCAGGAAGGGCCCAAGGACCCCCAGTGGCTTTGAATGCCTCGGCACCCAGGGACCTGTGCACGGGAGCCAGAGCCAAGCAGAGGTGGGGTTACATCTCCAGCCAGCTGGGCAGCAGGATGGAGGCTCGAAACTGGGTTCTGCTGATTTAAAGATGTGACTGTGGCTTGCAGGAGGAGAACCGTCTCTCCATCCAGACCAGATCCTGAGAGAAATGTGAGCTCTTGGACGGCTTTTCGAGCCCGCTCACTCCTGCCTGCAACCATGCAGGAATCCGGCTCTGGGACTCCGCTCCACCGTGCCATCCGCTGCTCACGGCTGGATCTACCAAGGGCCCATGCAGCCTCACGTCTCTCAGTGGCCAGAGGGCAGGTGCACACCTTGTGTTCTGCTGCTCTGCTGGACTCACTCGGGGGGGGCCAGTTCCAAATGCCGTTGCTCAGCCCCTCAGGCCCACAGACACGGCCTCTGGGGTGGAGAGGAAGGTGTCGGCATTGCATTTTGACAGCTTCCTCTGTGAGTGTCTGACATTCACAGAAGCTTGTTAATAAGCTTTGCTCTAGAAGAGCAATGGAAGCGACGCCGCTATTCCCTGCTGGCAGATGAGGGCAGATCTGGTGGCTGAAGGTAGGAGCGTTTGCTGAGACCACTTACGGTTAGGATATTCATTCATGGACTTTGTCTCATGGTCTTTGCTGCTCGTGTTGAACCCCACTTCTGGATTTAAACTCCAGGGCAGTGATTAGGCCTCTGAGAGCCAAGCTCCATGGGCCGAGACGCTGACCTGCAGAATAGCACTCAGAGAGCAGGAAGCTCCTGCTGCCCCTGGTGCTGTGCCAACAGGCTAAGAGTGCCAGTGCCTCCAGATCTCCACGGCCACGGGCCCCGGAGGCTGGGAGATGTGTGTGAGAGCACAAACTCATGAGCAAGTTATGTCAATAGCAACATTATAATTATTACATCATTATAATAATAGAACAGACTGAGGGGCGAGCGCGCAGCCAGCCTTCCAGGTGATGGCTGGCGTGCACTGTTCAGCTCAGCTGAAGGCAGTGCCCTCAGGATTTGGTTAAACTGCAGTGAGAAAGTCCAGGGCTAGCTGCAGGCAAATGTTTGTGAAGCAGAAGCATCGCCGATCCCGGCCCCTGAGGTTACGCCGGACCCCGCTGCCCGAGTGAGGTCTGCACCGAAGGCTTCCACGGGGACTTGCTCCAGTCTCACAGCTTGGCCAGCGACCCGCACAGCGAAGCACCACAGGAGGCCTTTGCAGAGTGGCTTCTACGATACTTCTGGAAGGGTCTGCCTGGAGGCGTGGCGCTCAAGAGCCAACATCTGGCTGCTCCCGCGAGCAGGGTGGGCAGGTGCAGAGCCAGGCTGGTGGGGCAGCGGGCGGGGAGGTTTGCCAGTCTCTGGGTTCTGAGAGCCTCACCCCTCCTCCCACTGTCCCTTGTTCTGGGAGGAGGCCTTCGTGTGGGTGGAGGAGGCGAGGTAAGAGCTGAAGGCATGTGGAGAAGGGCGTGTTAGAATGGCCTCGAGTCTTTATCGCCAACAGGTCTCTCTCGTGGGCTCCCACCTCTGACTGCCGTCACACAGCAGCGGGGTCTCTTGCCCCAGGCGCACAGGGTGCCCACCTCGCTGGGGGCAGGGAGAAGAGGCTGAGAAAATGTTGCTGGACACCTGTGTGCTTTGGAACCTGGAAAGCCAGCCCCGCTGGACTGCTCGGTGGGTGACAGCCGACACCCGCATGGCTCTGTCGCTCGTCCTAGGGCCCATCTCAGCCGTGTCGCCTCACTCCTCAGTATACGGGCGGAAGTCCATATGAAGCCACCTCATCCCTCCCAGGGGAACATGGGGAGGGTCTCACCGTGACTCTGAGATGAGAGGAGCCACCAGACCCACATCGTGAGGCTGGGAGGCTGGGCGTGGTGACCGGTCCACGGGCCCCGCTCTGGTCTTCACCAGGCAGTGGCTTTCTCAGATTGACAGGTGCCCCAGGAAGACGGAGCTACACACAGCCAGATCCAAGGGCAGTGAGGTGCAGGGTTCCGGTCTGGACTCCGCAGGTGGTTAATCAGTGCGCTCCAACCTCCCACTATAGCAGATTCTAAGATGGCTGGGAGTGAGGATCTGGCGGGGGAGGGAGCCTGCCTCCTACGGGTTCCATGCTGATTCTGAACCCAGACGCAAAGGGGCTACCACCAGGCCTCCCCCACCCCCAGCTCTGTCTCCTTTCCTCCTCTGCCCTGCCCCTCTGCAGGGTGTGTGCATTGGAGAGGGAGCTGGGTGCCCTGACAAGGAAGAAAAGGAGGGGAGGTAGCCTTTTGCTCCCGGGCTGGCCTGTCGAGGGGCAGATAGGGCTGCCTCAGTGGGTATCCAGCACTGAGAGGAACCTGGGCACATGGGGCCTGCCAGCTCTGTGCTCACCCAGCCAGGGTGCACAGTGGCTCTCAGCTCTCAGCCAGGGTGCACAGTGGGGTCCTCCAGGAGGCAGAGACAGGGAAGGCAAATGGTGACCAGGGTTTTTCTCTCTAACTTAAAGAACACAAAAGAAAGGGTGCGTTAACACTAGTAAATAAGGCAGTGCGGAGGTCGGCCAGGCTCAGGGCCGGCCGGCTGTGGTCAGATGAGGCCGGCGGCCTTCTCCTGCACGTTGTACTCTCTGTTCCTCTTCACCCGCCAGCTGACCAGGAAGAGCAGCAGCGTGCCCAGCACCTTGTAGCCCAGCTGCAGGCCCAGGTACCTGTGGGGCAGGAGAGGACAGGGCCCGTGAGGCAGGGGCTTTGCGACATGGGAGTGAGGGCCACAAGGAAGAGCATCCTTCTCAGTGGCCCAGAATGGCAGCGATCACCACCCAGGTAAGCACCAGCCATCACCCAACTGGGGACCACTTTCTTCCTCCCTTTCATGCAAAAGGCAAGGGAGAGCAGGGTGCTCCTAACCCAGCCATCCTCACCTGTCTGCTGGGCCCCTGCAGCTCCAGACAGCCCTGAGCCGCGGGCATCTGCTCCCTGCCCTTTAAGTCTGTCCCTCTCCCAGTTTGCTCTGCAGCACCCGCAGCAGTCCCAGCCCCCCGCCTGGCTCCCCAGGCCCCACCTTAACCACCATTTCTGGCCAGGTGGCTACAAGGGGTTAGATCCCAACAGTGCTGCCAGCAGCCACAGAAGGAAGGGATCCCCGGCTCTGAGCTGTGGGGCGCTGGCCTGGCGTCACTGCACGGCCACGGCCTCTCCCTTAGCCTCCAGCATCCCCCCTCTCTTTGTTCCACTTCCTGCTGTTATCCCTACTGAGGGAGCAGGGAGTGACACTACACTGTCAGCCCCCCACCCCCCACCCCGAGCATGGCCCCTGGGTCTCAGTGCCTGGTCTGCCCCCGTCTTGGAAGCCCCACAGCCCTGCCATGGCCACGGTGCTCTGCTCTGGGGTCTCACCTGTCCCGGAGGGCATCGTTGTCATAGTAGATGCAGGCTCCTCGCCGCCCTGAACACTGCAGGCTCCACCGGACGCAGGAGTAGTCGATGGTGAGGCCATACAGGGCTGGAGCTGGCAGCCAGGCTGGCAGTGGCGGGGAGAGAGGCCAGAGATCCCAGGTCACACAGAGCTGCAGGAAGAGCGCCCGGGGCCAGCCCCCTACTCCCCTGCAGGTTCAAGTGTGTGAGCAGTGCCCTGCCTGCCCCAGGGACCTGCAGGGACTCCGGAAAGTAGCACAGCTCACAGTGAAAGCCTGAGCTGCACTCTCAGCAGCCGCTCAGAACAGGAAAGGCCAGGGTGAGCCACAGGGTGACATGGGCGCCAACTCAGAAACACACCACATGGTGCTCACGCCCGAGGCAGGTCCCAGGTAGAGACACGCTGACCTCCACCATATGGCAGGAAGCACTGGGGGGTGGGCGAGAGGATGCCTCACCCAGGGCCCAGGTGTACAGGTGCCATCTTTGCAACCAGGAGGCAGGGGAGCTGGGCTAAGCAACAGTTGCAGCCTCGAGGGCTCAGGGCTGCAATCTAAGATGCTTTGCAAAGGTGCACATCCTACATTTTCCCCTGTACCTAGCTGCCCTGAACACTCCAGCCCCTGGTCCCAGCTCAGCAGGGGCTCTGCCCAACGTGGCCTGCTCCATGCTGTTAGAGGCTGTTCTAGGCAGCCACTGCCTGGGGACTGGGCTGTCCGTTCTTAGGGCCACTGGCTGCAGAGGGGGCCTCCCAGAGTCTCTTGCGAGGGCCCTGTGAGCTGCTGCTTCCAAGGAAAGGCAATGTTCTACCTGGGGCCCCACCCACACATGGGACAGTTCTCCACTCCAGGCTCTGCTTGCTCCTGGGTCTCCAGGTGAGCGGAAGATGGGCACTGGCTGGACACCTGGCCTCTGGGGATGCAGCCACATCCTGGTTGGAAGCAATAAACCTGCCAGGGTTCCTGCAGGAAGCCTATTTCTTGCCCCAGAGGGCAACTGCATCCTGGGGACTCGTGGAAGCCCCCAGGCCCGGGGGTTCCAGCTGTGGTACCCACTGAGTTATCTGAGCACTGCAGAAGAACAAAAGCAGCAGGTGCTTGCAGCAGCGCCCCGGTGTTCAAGGCCAAGGCCACTGGAAGAAGAAGGGAGGCGCCCAGGGGCCTGCCTGGGGGCTGCTTGGGCTGGGAGCAAGGCGAGGTTCCAGGGGAGGTTTCAGCGTGGGTCCTAGATGAAGACAGGTGGTGACAGGAGAGCCTCTGTTGAGAGCCCAAGGCACAGCCTACTCCCCACGGCCTCGGTGCATGGCAGCAAGGTCTGACAGAGCTCGAAGAACAGTAGGTCCAGGGCTGGTTTGTTCCTCAGCCCCCAACAGGCGGTGGGACTGTGCCCAGCAGGGGTTCCTGTCGGCTGGTCCTGAGAACACCGCCCTTCCTGGGCTACGAGGAAGCCGTGGCAGGGGCACGTGTGGTGGACCCAGCTCCCTGACAAACCACGCCGCGGGCTCTCCCAGACTTCAGCATTTCAGGGCAGAAGTGCACTTGCTGGTGGCCAAAGTCCCCTCCCTGGACTCCCCATGTGCCACTGCAGTGCACACTGGCTCCTCAAGAAATAAAGAAATACACTGTCAGAGTTGGTGTTGTGGCACGGCGGGTTAAGCTGCTGCTGGCAGCCCACACCAGGGCTGGTTTGAGTCCCAGCTGCTCCACTTCCAATCCAGCTCCTTACTAAGGTACCTGGGAAAGCAGTGGAACATGGTGCACCTGCTTGGGCCCCTCCCACCCACAGAGAGGAGATCTGGATGGAGTTCCAGGCTCCTGGCTTCGGCCTGGCCCAGCCCCAGCCATTGTGGCCATCTGGGGAGTAAACCAGTGGATGAAAGACCTTTCTCTCTCTCTCTGTCTCTCTCTCTCTCTCCCTCTCTCTGTAACTCTACCTTTCAGATAAATAAATAAATCTTAAAAAAAAAAAAGAAAGAAACACACCCTCAGTTGAATCAGTCTCAGCTTCTGTATGTTTGAGGTTTCCTGGTGAGTGGCTCCTGTTTCCATGTAGTACAAGGCACAGCCTGGCATGAGCAGAGCAGGGAAAGCCCGCCATGTCCCCTCCCCAGTGGATGCACCCAGGGAAAGCCTGGTCCTCCCTCTGTGTGTGCGTGTGTCAGAGCCCTGCCAATCACTTGTGCACAGCCCTGTTCCCCCAGGCATCCAGGGCCTGTGCATCGAAGGCCTCACGTAGGAGACACATGTGCTGAGTAACGGTGGGAGGAATGCATCGCATGAAGCAGAAAGCAAGCCAGGGCTGGGCTCAGCTGCTGTTCTTGCTGAGGCAGGAGGGCAAGGTTTTGTGTCTACGGTGAGGTCTTGGGAAAAGATGAGAAAAGAACCTGCATATACGGCGCTACTGGGTGCTCTCAGCTATGTCCACTTTCCACTTCTCTCCCTTTCTTAAAAAAATATTTATTTTATATTTATTTGAAAGAGTTACACAGAGAGAAGGAGAGGCAGAGAGAGAGAGGTCCTGTATCTGCTGGTCCACTCCCCAATTGGCCGGAGCTGCGCTGTTCCGAAGCCAGGAGCCAGGAGCCTCCCCTGGATCTTTCCACTCAAGTGCAGAGGCCCAAGGACTTGGGCCATCTTCCAGCACTCTCCCAGGCCATAGCAAAGAGCCGGATCAGAAGTAGAGCAGCTGGCATCTGAACCAGCACCCGTATGGCATGCCGGCACTGCAGGCAGCTGCTCCACCCATTACGCCACAGCGCCGGGCCCTGCACTTCTCTTATATCTTAGATTTGGGATTAATGTGCTAGATGAAACCTGTCCTGCCCTGGGGCACTGGGAGGAGCCGTCCAAATGTGGGATGTCAGCACCAGCCCTGAATTATCCATTGCGCGTCTCCCGGTTTTCCCCGCCCCACAATAGCTCTCAGACGCCCTGGAGCCTCAGCAGGCCAGGCAGGTCTTCCACACTCACCCAGTAAGCGCATCAGCAGGAACTGGACCCCGATGGCAAACGACTTTTCTTCCTGGTTCACCACACTGAGAAGGAAAGCAGGAGGTCAGCAGGGTTTGGGACTGCAGTGCCCCTTATCTGGGGACGAGGGGCAGCCAGCCACACAGCATGTCAGAGGCTGCCCTGGCGTGGGCCGAATGCTGTCAGTGGCTCTCAAAGCAGGGTCCCTGGGTCAGCAGGAGACCCCTGGCAATGGTCAGAAACGCACCTTCTTACCCTTCCCCAGTGAGTCAGAGACTCCGGGGTGGGGCCCAGTGACCCAGCCTTCCAGAAGGCTCTGACACAGGTGCGAGTTGGAGAACGTGGTTGGTGTGACCCTCAGGATGGCCCAGGGACCCCCCTTCCAGGAGTGCAGGGCAGAAGATGCCAGAAGCTGAAAGTGGGGAGCTGGCAGGTGTGTTTGCGGAGGCAGGGACTGTCTGTGTCTCCTACCGGGAAGACGGCCCCGGCACGCAGTGCCATCAGGGCCCCTGGGCTGCAGGCTTCTGTGCACAGCAGAAGGAGGGTCCTGCCTCAGGCCAGCGCTGCGGGCTCCTGACCCGCAAAGCAGCACTGGGCTCCACCCTCTGAAAGGCCTCGGGTTTGGGTTAATGCTCTGCTGTGGCTCTCTGCAACATTTCTTAATCATTTGCAGCTTTACATTTTCAATTACAATTCGTGTGGCCACTGCTGTCACTACACTTCCTCCCTGCAGAAGGGGAAATGCAATTGACGGAAGAAGTGCAGAGAGAAGACTGGATAGCCAGCCAGGCTGTGGAACAGGGAGGGTGCGCCCCAGGGGCCGGCCAGCAGAGGCACCTGCTGAGCAACTGGGCCCCAGGCTTCTGTGTGGCCCGAGGATGCACGGGCTCAGGTGAGTGTGTGTTAGGGCAGGTGTTCCAGGCTGAGGCACAGTGGGGAAGGGATCTCAGAAGAAGCCCCCAGGTCTCTGCCCCTGGTTGGCTTCATCCCTCCACCATCACCACCACAGCTCTGCTGGCAAATGGGAAGGGCCCCTCTTGCATCCCCCAAGGGATGGCCCGGTGATGGGAAGACTGTGGTGCAGGCAGGGGAGATACCCACTGGGCTCCCCCAGCAGAAAGGGCCTCAAACCGGATGGAAGGGATGTTCCCTTTATACCTTCAGATCCTCTGCTGGCTCCACCCACTAAAGCTGCTCCCCTGGTCTTGGTCCTTGTCCTGGGCAGACTCCCCCAGACCCTCAACTGCACCCCTGTTGGGCCTTTGCTGGGGCTCTTGGGCCCCCTTTGGTCTCTGCACAGTCTGGCCCTGGCTTTCTGGCTACCCCATCTCCTTCCACATCTCCAGTGTTTCCAGTAGTCCTACTCATGCTCAGGGGCCAGGATGGGTGCCAGTCACGCCTGGGGGCCCTGAAGCACCATCTTTAAGCCCCGCCTCCTTGACATAAATCGCATCTCTCATCTTGCCCGGTGCAACTCCTCTTTCAAACACTGCGGGCTCCTGGGGCCTCCTCTCCAGTTTCACTCCAGCCTTTCCTTGTGCAGACTTGGGACGGGAGGTTCTCCAGAGAAGCCCATCGTGTGGCTGGAACGAAGCTCCGTTCTCCGTGACCCCCTGCCCTCAGGGTGGCCATGGGACAGCGGCTGCCCTGCGTGCCCTGCTGCTCAGGGGCTCCCTGTGGGACCTCTGCATGCTGTCACGCTCCCACTCGCGGCCTCGTGCAGGTTTGTCTCAGGGTTAGTGGGGCCACTGTGGCCCACCTGGCCCGCGCTGCACGGATCACCTGACCCCCACTGGAGCCCCTCAGGTCAAAGTGCCAGCACAGGACGGGGAGCGGTCGAGAAGGGGGTGACGCGCAGGAGCTCTGAGCAGCTCCACGCACTCCTGCTGAGTGCTGGGAACGCTGTCTCCCTGGGCCGCCTCTCAGGGTGCTAGTTGCAAGGAGCACCTGTGGGGCACCAGCTGGGGTCTTCCCTAGCCCAGGAGCAGGCTTGCCTGCTGCTCCCTGCACAGGCGTGGCTCTCCCAAGCTGTGATGGATATCCACGACATGCAAAGCGTACATCCGGGTCCTTCTGGGTCACCCCGGGAGGCCTTGGGGGACACCAATAAGCAATGCAGCCAAAGGTCCTCGCTGCTCTCCGTATGTAACAGAGCTCTTTGTGGCCCAGGAGACTCCCATCTCCTGCCTTCAGCATCCTTGGAACAGTGGGAGAAATGGCAGCTTGCATCCCAGCAAGCTGATGGATGCTAACTTGTCAACAGGTCTCAATAAGTGGCTGCTGCTGCTCCTGGTGCCTCTGCTAAGCTAGGCAAGGCAGGTCATGGGCACCCAGGTACTTGTTAGAACTTGGTTGGCAGTGGTCATTAGCCAGAGTGTAGAGCACCTTGCACTTACAAAGCAGCTTACCATGCACTCCAGACAACGACCTGTAACGTCAACTCTCTACATTCATTTCAAACACGAAGTAACTGAGGCTGAGGGAGGTCAGGCCACACCCAAGGACGCTCAGCCACTACGTGATCAAGCTTCCCCGTTATCCACACAGGACTTTGCTCATGGGACTCACAGGGGCACAGAAGGGAGAGGAGGCGAGGGCCACGGGGCATCCGGCAGAGACACGAGGGGAAGCAGAGGGCGAGCCCAGGCCTTGGAGGCGCCACTCACCGCAGAACCATCATGTAGAGGGGATTGTGGGAAATGCAGGCGATCAGGGCCGCAAAGGAGATGAGGAAGATGGTGGGGAGCAGGAAGTGGGCACAGGGGATGGGGCAGGGTCCCGCTCTCGCTGACGCCGATGCCCCGCTCACGCAGCTGCAGTTCAAGTAGACCTTCAAGAGTAAAAGGGGGGAGGGTGTTAGGATGTCATCTCCACGCACGCCACACATCCATGCCGGCCCCTGCAGCTGGGTGAGACTGGATGTGCAGGCTGCAGAGGAGAGCAGGCGAGAGGCTCAAGATGGCCCAAGGATCCTGCCTCCGTCATCACCTGCTGACTCTACACCTGCACCTGAATGCCGAGAACCCACCACCAGGCAAGGCCCACCCAGCAAGGAACCAGGGCCCTGGGGAGGGGGCTCCCTGCCGGGCCAGGCCACCTTGTTCCCAGTTGTGCTGGCTTTGCAGGGGGCTGTCTGCCTGCCGTGTGTGTTATTGCGAGGGAAGACAGACACAGGGGAGAGAAGCGGGGACACAGCAGGGTCCCTGAGCTCTGTGCCTGTCGGGTCTCAGTGCAGCTTCCTGTCTAGGAAGAATTCCAGAGAACAAGGCCCCCGTCTCAAGTCTGCAAGTCAATACGGCGGCCACCACTGACGTCTGGTGGGCATCGCCTACGCTCTTAGGGTGTTTGAGAGCCCAGCCCATGACCACGAAGCGTCACAGCAGTTATGGGGCCCATTCTAGAACTAGTCAACGGGCTTGCTTCCTTTTATCAGACATGGCGAACTCCGTCCTCTCTTTACCTTGGCTCCTGGGAAGCTCAGACGTGATTTGTACACAAATTACTCTTATCTCTCTCAGTCCGGATTTTAATAGATTTTTTTCCCCTTATAACTTACTATTTTTTCCTTGATATAATGCTACTGGATTTTTATCTTGATGCACTTATGCTTTTATTGGAAACTTGTCAAGATTATTTCTGAAAGTAGATGAGTCAGAGGTAAGTAAATAAAGATAAGAAAACCACAAAAGCCACCACGGATTCCTCCAAGCAGAAGGTAACCAAGAGAGCATCCTGTCTTCCCTCTGCCTGCGGGCCAGGGGCGGCCTTGCCTTGGCCCTTCAGAGCGGGGTGGTCCGTGGGTGCTGGCTTTGCCTGTGCCCTCCACATGGATCACCGTCCTCTGGCCATCCTCCTGGTTACAGCACAGACTGCCATCTGCTCTTAGGAGAAAACGTGGCCCTAACCTGGCTTGCCCAGCTCTGGCCCCTGCCTGCTCCCTGGCACCCCCCACCCCTGCTCTCAGTGCCCACCCTGGTCTTTTCCTTTTTCTCTGACAGTCTTCCCAGCATATACATGCCCTAAAGTCCTGCACCTGCTGTTTAAAGGACTGGTGGCACCTTTCCCCTCCTCCCTGTCTTCTTCCCTCCGCCTCCCCACCCCACATCCTCCTTTAGCTGAGATCCTTGGTGCCTAACCAGACCCTTCTCAACGCCTTGCAATGCAAATGGCAAAGCAGATGAGCTGCACAGGGCAGCTATGAAACAGATAAGGGGGAAATTCCTGGAGACTTCAAAGAGTCCCCCACTTTTCCATCAGCTGCCTTCTACACCCCCACCCCCAAATTCTCTTCTAACCAGATAAAACCTGAGTCCCAAATGCGCCCTGCACACAATCTCTTCACAAGAACAGACTGGTGCCAACCTCTCTGCGTCCAATAAAGCAAGCTGTCTCTGTTGAGGTTGGTCTCCATCTCCTTTCTGGGGGTACGAAAGACCAGAACCCCAAGCTATGCCAGACCTAACACTGTTCCCTTTACCTGAAATGCTTTGCTCCCAGGTCTTGGTTCTTTTTCTGGTTGTTCAGCTCTAGACACCTCCTTGGGAAGGCCTCCAGGCACTTTCTGTCCCAATAAGTCTCTGTGTGGTGTATGGGTTACTTTTCCAAAACTCTCGTGCATTTATGGGACAGAATTCCAGGGACCTTATCAATTGGACCCATCGCCACATCCTCTACACCCATGGCTGTGCCCGGGGTTTTCTCTTTGCTGAAAGCTAAACCAATGACTCGAGTCAGTTTGCAGCTGGCTGAGCCTGGAAAGCCTGGAGCCGCAGCATTCAAAGGGGGATGGAAAGGACCTTGCCGAGAGAGAGCACAGGGAACGTGGCTGCCCGAGTGGTAGGCTGGTGGCCTGGAGACGCACAGGCTTCAACAGAAGTGCCCCACAGTAAGGCAAGGCCCCAGCTCCTGGTCCCAGATCTGCCCCCAAACAGCTGCACGGCCTCCGGCTTCCTGGGGGCTGAGTTGTTGAACCACAGGCCTTTGAATGCCACTTCTGGCTCTGGCCTTCCAGATTTGGATTCACCAGGGCCAGTCTACTCCCCGTGCAATGCGGCCAGCACGTGGGACCCAGAGGTGCGGGGCAGTTGAAGGAGTGCTTTGACTGTTTATCGTTAGGCCTCAAGAATGTGTGCTGGGCCTCGGCCAATCTCTAATTGACTTGGAGCTGCAGGCACGACCGGAGGGGAGGTGGAGGGTGTGGGTGCGGCCTCCGGGAGGCCAGGATGCTGGTAATGAGCCTGTCGGGAGCCCCGCCCAAGCCCCGCCCACCTTGGAGCTAGGAGCTACCCTCCAGGGTCCACGCAGGGCTCCCGGATCCTCTGCTGCCCTCACCGGTTGCTTGGAGGCTGCAGAGCTCACGTTGATGTCGCTGCAGCCGGCGTGGCAAGGGGACAGGTACTCGACGCCGTTGTCTCCGCAGACCGGGTAGAAGACGGAATCCGGGCACGCGCAGTCCCTGCGGCAGGCAGGAGGCTGCGGATGTATAGAACTTGATGTGCTGCCAGCAAAACAGGAAATGAGGAATCAAACAAAGCGAGACCGAAGAAAAAACTCGGGGCTCCAGCCCAGCGTGAGTTCCTGGTTAATGGGCCTATGCGTCTCTGTTTGTCTTGGGCCAGCGCCACCCTAGGCTGCCTTGTGTCTGCTGGAGCCAATGGTGAGTCCACCGCTGCTGGGTAGTCACAGCACCTCCCTGTTTCTTCTGCTACTTGGAGCCCAAACCCACTAATGACTGCCTTGGAAAGCCCCCATCAGCACCCCTTACTACAAGATGGGGTCAGGACAGCCAACTAGCCAGCCAAACCAGCCAACCACGACTCCCAGGACAGAAATAAAGATGTAACAGAAAAGTTTCAGACAACGCAAGGGAGCAACAGAAAGTTCACAGAAAATGGAAAATTTGGGGCTGGAGTTGTGGCATAGTGGGTTAAACTGCCCCCTGTCACGTGGGCATCCCATATAGACACCGTTTCGAGGCCCAGCTGCTCCACGTCTGATCCCGCTCCCTGCTAATGCGCCTGGGGAAGCAGCAGCAGATGGCCCAAGTCTTTGGGCCCTGCACCCGTGTGAGAGACCCGGAAGAAGCTCCTGGCTCCTTGTGGCCATCTGGGGAGTAAAGCAGCATGTGGACCATCTCTCTCTGTCTCTATGCCTCTCTCTCTGTGTAACTCTTTCACATAAATAAAGAAAATGGAAAATTTAAGTTCATTTTGGTGCAAAAACAAGTGAAATCCATGCTGCGTTTTCATAAGACACCCTTTTCAGGAACTCTCTGAGGCTCTCCCCTGGCTGCCCTCCCTCTGCTCCTAGCTGGGTTCAGATGGAAGGAGCAGCGGGACTCCGTGGGGCAAGCTGGGCTCTCGTTGGTGGCCCGTGCTCTGGGTCACCATAGACGCTGCTCTACCCCCAGGTTTCACGACTGACCTTCCCGTTCCCACCGTGCCCCCGGGTACCTGACGGTCCTGGTCTGGGGGTGGGAGGTGGCACGGGGTGGGGCTGACAGCCAGGAGATAGCTCCACTAGCAATCCTCAGCCGCAGCCCCACGGTGGCTGTCTCTGCTTGCACGGTTAACACAGGAGTCGACCACTGATTATTCACCTTGTCTGTTTGAGAAAACGGAAGCCTGAAAGGGAGAAACAACTCCCCCAGGCAGCACAGAGGGCCAAGACCAGACCTCACGCGTGTTTGAGGACGGAGCTGGCGCTGACGTCACAGCAAGGACCCTTGGTGCACGGTCAGGGGGCATTCGCCATGCTGAGCAGCCCTCCCGGTGCCAGGACCCCGTTTCCCCCTTGCCCAGCAGACAGAGGACTGCATCTCACAGCGAAGGCAGAGGAGACGCGGAGACGCGGCACCCCTAGGAGCCACAGCCTGAACACAGGCACAGTTGCTGAAGGGCAGCTCCCGGGAAGACGGAACGCGCCCTAGCTCAGCATCCTCGGCCTCCTGCCTGGAGCCGTAGGAGCCGCACTGCCGGCTGCAGACCCGAGCCGCGCGTGCCCTGCCCTCGTGCTGTCAGCCTGCCTCGGCTTCCACTCCTCCTGCAGATCTCTGCCGCGCTCCTCTCCTCTCTCTTCAGCAGCTCAACGGTGTGGGGAGCAACTCGGACTAGACTAAGTTACTGGAATTAAGACTTATTCTATGCATCTGCTCTCCCACAATATGGCGCTGGGAGAGGAGAAAACAGCTTCTATACAGCTGCCTCCAGTTCAGCCAATAAACTGTGGGACCTGCTCCTGATTGGAGGAGAGCAGCGTACTCGGCGTGTGGGTAGCAGAGTTGGGATTGGTGGAAGAGGACTATAAAGGAGGAGAGAGACAACATGCACCAGGAACATCTATCTGAAGGAACACCTGTGCAGCCCCCGAGAGAGCTGGCCGGCGGTGTGCCGCTCCCCCGCGGAAGTGGGGAAAGTGGCAGGGGGAACCGCCCTTCCACGGAGGTGGAAGGGACGGTAGCCAACCCGGGAAGAACCAGCAGCAAACCCGGGGAGGGCCGAGCAGACAAAAGAACAGCGCAGGGTCCTGTGTCGTTCCTCCACGAAGAGGGGGAGCGACAAACGGGACGCCAGCCCAGAGCTGATGCTACACACAAGCCTCGTGCCTGCCTTCCTGGGGCTCACAGCCCTACAGATTCTTGAGACCAAACTGATTCATTTCTGGTGCTTCTCAACGAACAAAAAAGGCCCGACCTCTGGTGGCTGGTGGTCCACCAGCACCCTCTGAGTGCTCCTCATGCTGTAGTACGTTGAAGACCTGATTTTCCAAGTTACAGCCTGAAGATCAGACCAAAAGTGAAGAGAAGAGAGGCGTGAAGAAGGCAGGCCGGCGGCAGCCAGCCCCAGGCTCCGGCCCTCTGGGAAGGGTCTCTGCACCCCGTCTGCCCCTCACCTGGGTGGGTAGACCTCAGCCACGGCCGGGGTGGAGCACCCCATGAAGAAGAGCGGGGCGCAGAGGATCATGGAGATGGTGATGATGGTGGCAGCCACCCGGGGGATGGTTTGCAGAGGGAACACGAACCGCTTCATGAGGATGCCTCCGAACAGCATGCCCAAGGCCGCAGCGGGCAGGTTCACTGCACCTGCGAGCAGGGAGAGGAAGCCGCGTGGGCTCGTGGTCCTGGGTGTGCGCGGGCCCCAGGCTCGGCGCTGGACCGCTGGGGATGGAGCATGGCTTCAGGAAGAACACTTGACGAGTCACACTCCAATAGGAGCAGCTGGCATTAACTGCCAGGCACACCCAGAGAGCTCCCTTGACATAGAGGATTGCCTTAGCTGGGCAACGAGTCAAGAAGCAAAGCCTAGGGCCGGCGCTGTGGCATAGCGGCTTAAGCTGCCACCTGCAGTGCCAGCATCCCACATGGTTTGAGAGCTGGTTCTAGACCCAGCTGCTCCATTTCCAATCCAGCTCTCTGCTGTGGCCTGGGAAAGCAGTAGAAGATGGCCCAAGTCCTTCGGCCCCTGCACCCACATGGGAGACCCAGAAGAAGCTCCTGGCTCCTGGCTTTGGATTGGCACAGCTCCGGCCACTGCAGCCAATTGGGAAGTGAACCAGCTGATGGAAGACTTCTCTCTCTGCCTCTCCTTCTTTCTCTGACTTTCAAATAAATAAATATTTTTTTTTAAAAAAAGCAGAGCCCTTGCAGTCAGAGGGATGTGGGATAATGTGTGTTTATTAAGCACCTTTCATTACCTGGGGCCACAGTGCACCACCTCACTGTGACCGCATGGAGCTGGCCAGGCATGGGTGATGACCTTTGTTGCAGCAGGCAGAGTGAAGGCCAGAAGGGCAATGTCAGGGCCAGGGGCCACACAAGAGGCTGGGGCTGCAGGAGCCACCCTCAAATCACAGTTGAATTCCTGTGGTCAAGCTCACCGGTGGGTTGGGCCAGATCATTCCCTTTGTTACCAGGTTTGGGGGTTTGGAGGGGCACCAACACGAGTGGTTGTCAACCTCAGCTGCAAAAGCAATGCTGTTGGGCCCCCTCCAGAGCTGCCTCCATTGACCTGGGGTGGGCCCGGGCCTCTGCGTTTTGTCAGACCCCACAGAGTGCAGCTGAGCTGAGGCCCACTGGGCCACACGCTCTTAGCGAAGCGAATGTCACCAGTCCCTCGAGAAGGAGGAGAGAGCCCAGGAGCACCGGCCTGAGCGGCGGTCCCATGTGCCCCTTCTCTGCAGCCCCGGATGACGTCAGGGCCTCTGGGAGGCTGTCAGGCTGCCAGTTCCTCGTCGGGGAGGAAGGCGCCCCCCCACCCCACGCCCCCAGCCTCCTCCCTCGTCTGCCGGGAATGAGAGGAGCCCCAGCGACCGGCCAAGAACAGCCCAGATTGCCAACCAGGAAAAATGTCCTTGAAATTCTTTCTCCGAGGAAGTCCTCCCCTGTCTCCTGCCTGTGTCCGGTCTGGTCCCCCGGGGCCCTGCCTGGGAGGCGGGATGCCCGCCCGCAAGGCACCCACCGATGAGGAAGTTGGCATAGGCGGCTGAGGTGCCGTACTGCTTCTCCAGGAACTTGTTGAGGAACGTGGAGAGGCCGGCGATGACGGAGGAGAAGGTGCACTGGGCCAGCACCACCAGCACGAAGAGCGGGTTCATCAGCAGCCTCAGGAAGATGCGTGGGAACCCTGCAAGCAGACACCGGGGCGTCACGGCCCCCGCCAGGCCTCCCCCCATCGTGGAGGCTTTCCTTGCCTCCTTGGGGTCCGGGGTGCGGGAGCCACCCCCAAATCACACCTGCTGCTCAGAGGCCCGTCTAGGGGCACAGAGCCCCCTCCCCCGGGATACCCACTCAGCATGCATGTGGGCTCCAGAAAGCAAGGGTGTGCCCCAAAGAGATAGGGCAGGTGTAGGGCTGAAAGGGGACCACCCGCTCCACACAAAGGGGCTGGGGGCTGGGTGGAGGGGGCGGCCCCTGGCTTCGCCTGCCTCTGGGACACAGGATCCCAGGCAGAATCCCTCTTGGGCTGCAGGCACAGGTGCCCTGATGGCAGAGTACAGCCCCCTGCTCTTGCTGCCCCTCCCCACCCCGCACTCTGCCCACCCCGGGGGGCTGCCTGCTCAGTCAGTTACGTTTAATGAAATCCACCAGGGAGCCTCTGGACTTGACCTCCTCCATCTTCGTTGCTTCATCCGCTGTGGCAGGAGACCTCTGATGGCAGCAAAGGGAGTGAGCGTTAATGGTTCCTGGTCCCCACGGCTCAGGGCCGGCGTGTGTGCATGGGCGTGGTGGGGGGGGGTGCATCAGAGAATGAGCACTTGGAGCAAACCCCACCTGCCTTCCAGCCAGCCTGGGGCTTGGACACCAACACCTCCCACTGTACTAACTGCACCTGTCACTGCATATCTAACCTCTCTGAGGCCAAGGCCAAGGCTACCTTCCTGGGTCTCGCCCCTTGTCTGTCTGTCACAGCTGCACTTCTCCCCTGCCCTCAGCTTCCAGCGCCACTGGCTTCTGGGACACTCTGGTCTCGAGTGCCCTCTTTTTCCACGTCTCCCTTTCTGTCTCCTCCCTGGAGTCCCCAAGGATGAGGCCTGCTCAAGGCTCTGGGGGTGGGGGGCAGTTCCTGGCCTGCACCTGGGCACACAGCCTCAGCCAGTTCACCTGCCTCTTTGGAGCCCCTGGCTCTGCCCCATGCGGAGCCTGGCCGAGCCCTGGGGGCACGCATCAGCAGGAACAGGTGCTTCCTTGTGCTGGGTGGTGCCTGGCATTGCACAAGCATCGTCTCACTCCTCACTGCCTCCTTCCCAGACCATCTCGAGTGTTTCACAGAAGAGGAAGCCGACGGACAAACGCTCCTATGATTACTTGGCTGGACAAATGCTCCTACGATTACTTGGCTGGACAAATGCTCCTACGATTACTTGGCTAGTTTGTACGCAGCATAGCTACATTAAATCCTGGGTCGGCCTGACCCCAAACCACCAGGATGTGCTGCCAACTCCTGGAGCCTGGCCCCAGGGCAAGCAGAGGTCCTCACTCCCCGCCCCTCCTCCCACAGCTGGGCCAGGATTTCTTACACCTCGTTGCCAAACGCCGAGCTCTGTTTCCAGCACACACCTAAGCAACAGACCCAGTCTCCTTCTAGTGCTCCAACCCGGCTGGCATGCGGTCCTTCCAGGCACCCCTGCAGAGCGAGTGCCCGGCCTGCCCTCGCCCCCACTCTCCGCTGGCTGTGGCCCTGGGCATCAGCCGCTGCCCCGGCTCCTGCACACCTCCAGCGTGCCTTTCTTACCAGCCACCCAACCTCCACCTGGCTGGGCGCTGCCCCCAGTCCTGGGATCAGAACAAGCTTAAGAGTCCCCAGCCAGTCTCCCTTCCCCGTGTCCCATCCTCCTCCTTCCCAGATCCAAGGCAGGACTGGAGGAGGCTCCAACGGTGCTCCCGGTCCAGGACTGGCAGCCCCTCCTTCCTCCCTCCTGCAGCGTCAGACCTCACTGCACCCCACTCAATGCCAGGCTGCCCTTGGCTCTCTAACTCAGCGGCTCCCGCACTGAGTTCCTGGAGCGCCCTGAGCCATGAAGTGCCAGCGCAGCATGGAAAAGACCCAGCAGCACCCTCACCCGCAGAGCTGCTGGAAGCCTTGCGCTGTAGGACCCGTCCAGATCTCACCCACAGCCTGCTCAGCCCGCCGCGGCCTCTCGGGTGCACCGAGTTCCCACCCGCACGCCTTAGCTCGTCTTGCCGGAGCCAGGAGCTCTCAGAATCTTACCTCTACGACTCGGGGCATCGCTCTGGGGAAGAAAAAAAAGGGCAACGAGGTGAGAACCAAGAAGCCTGAAGAAATGAGCAGGCCCAGCCACCAGGCTCCAATCCATCGGGGGTCACCCGGGCTCAGGTTAACGGCAGCTGAAGAGAAACCAAAGGATACAGGCGTTTGCTGAGTGAATGATGATCTCACCTCACTGCAGAGAGAAGCTCCGATCCACTGGTAGTTTCACTTTCTTCCCATGACGGTGAGGAGGCCAGCCGTGGGCTAGAACCTCAGTCAACACATTACGCCCTCTGCAGGCCTTTCTAGTCTCCCCAGAGGACAGAAGCCAATGTGTATGAAGTAGAGCATCAGAAAGCCCCCAGGCTGAAGGGGCCGGTGCCGTCATCTGCCCTTATTTTATTCCCAGCCCTAGACCACACACTTCCAGCCAATGATCCCACCGGGTGTTCTGGACAAATCGGATAGGCCGGACTTACAGACAGGACACTGAGGACCTGCGAGATCAAGTCCCTCGTCCAAGGTTAAGGCTGCTACAGTGCCAGTTCCTTGGGCGACTTCAATTGGTGCCCACTTCTGTGCTCTCGATCCTAGTGATCTGCTGCCGCTTCCCAACATCACTGATCCCTAAGGAAGGAAGCCCCCTTGATCCTGAACGTACTTCTCTGTGTGAAGAAACTACCTGGGCACAGAGAGGGGGAGGGGGGCTCCCTGGACGGGCTGGGAGCTCAGTTGCTGACCTCTATGGGCAACACGGGAAGTGCCAGCAAAGCAGCAAAGACAGTTTGATCGCGAAGCAGAATGCTGGCTCTTTTGAATCGAGGGACAAGCAGATGACACCACCCAGATGACGGACAGGCCAACATGCCCTGTGGGGGGTCAGTGCCAGCCCTGCTCTGAGAGAGGGGACAGGCCCTAGGTTGTGTGCCAGCCACTGACTGGCACGTCAGAGGGTGGGTATGGCTCAGTCCCACCTCCCAGCACATCTGCAGGTGGGAATGCCACATACCACACTCCCCTACTGTGTTCAGGCTGCGTCCATGTGAGAAGACGTTCCCTGCCATCACTACCTGCAAAACCCACTCAGACACCACCTCGCCAGGAAGCCCTCCCAGACTGCCTCGTGCAGGGTGCTCTCTCTGGCCTCTGGGCTTCCACTGCACTTTTCTTGTCCCCTGCCATGGTGCTGGCCTGCCCTGAGTGCAGGAGGCTGCTCAGGGTGGCGAGTCCCTGTGGGGTTCGTCCTGGGGCTGGCTCCCTGCAGGGCTGCCTCGGCACTGAAGCCTGCATCTGTGCTCTGTTCTCTCATTCTAAGATGCCCCGCGAGGTAGTGCAAACCATTTTTGGCAGGATTTGCGCTTGCGTCTGTGGACTTCCTAATGTGTTTCAGGCCTAATCTTTCCTTATTTTACTCTCACTTTGCCACTCCACAGGTGGGGAAACTGAGGCACACGGAGATGCAGCTACCTGCCTCAGACCACTCGGCTTGGACGCAGGCGGCCCAGCACCAGCATCCACACACGGAACGCCACGCTGTGCTTTCTGGATGTGACTCAGAACCCACAGGTACATTTTCCATTAAAAGGGTTCTTACTTCTTTTTTTTTAAGATTTATTTTATTTATTTGAAAGACAGAGTTACAGAGCGAGGTAGAGACAGAGAGGAGAAAGAGAGAGAGAGAGAGAGAGGTCTTCCATCTGCTGCTTCACTCCCCAAATGGCTACAACAGCTGAAGCTGAGCTGATCCACAGCCAGGAGCTTCTTCCAGGTCTCCCACACAGGTGCAGGGGCCCAAGGACTTGGGCCATCCTTCAGTGTTTTCCCGGGCATATTAGCATGGATCTGAATTGGGCATGGAGTAGCCGGGACCTCAACCAGTGGCCATATGGGATGCTGGCACTGCGGGCTGGGACTTTAACCCTCTGTGCCACAGCGCCGGCCCCTTATATCTTTTGTTAAATGCCGTATTTATTTATTTGAAAGGCAGTTACAGAGACACAGAAGGATATCGTCCATCTATTGGTTCACTCGCTAAATGGCTGCAACAGCTGGGGCTGGGCCAGGCCAAAGCCAGGAGCCAAGAGCTCCATCCAAGTCTCCTACATGGGTGGCAGGGGCCCAAGCCCTTGAGACATCATTTGCTGCTTTCCCAGGTGCTCTAGAAGGAAGCTGGATTGGAAGTGGAGCAGTTAGGATTTGAACTGGAGCTCCTATATGGGATGCCAGTGCTGCAGGCAGCAGCTTAACTCTCTGCACCACAATGCCAGTCCCTTTTGAAATTTTTTATTTAAAGATTTATTTATTTATTTGAAAGGCAAAGGCCGGCACAGTGGCTCAATAGGCTAATTCTCCGCCTGTGGCGCTGGCACACCGGGTTCTAGTCCCGGTCAGGGCGCCGGATTCTGTCCCGGTTCCTCCTCTTCCAGGCCAGCTCTCTGCTGTGGCCAGGGAGTACAGTGTAGGATGGCCCAAATGCTTGGGCCCTGCACCCGCATGGGAGACCAGGAGAAGCACCTGGCTCCTGCCTTCGGATCAGCGCAGTGCGCTGGCCGCAGTGGCCATTGGGAGGTGAACCAACGGCAAAGGAAGACCTTTCTCTCTGTCTCTCTCTCTCACTGTACACTCTGCCTGTCAAAAAAAAAAAAAAAAAAAAAGCAGTGTGACACCGACAGGGGGAGACACAGAGAGAGACAGACAGCGAGAGAGCAAGCGAGCAAGTCATCCACTAGGACACTCCCTAAATGGCCACAACAGCCAGGACTCAAACCAGCACTCCAGTATGGAATGCTGGTGTTGCAAGTGGAGGCATAACCCATTGCACCACAAATACCAGCTCCATCTTTGCAGATTTTTTTTTTTTGACAGGCAGAGTCAGTGAGAAAGAGAGAGACAGAGAGAAAGGTCTTCCTTCCGTTGGCTCACCTCCCAAATGGCTGCTACGGCTGGAGCGCTGCGCCGATCCGAAGCCAGGAGCCAGGTGCTTCCTCCTGGTCTCCCATGCAGGTGCAGGGCCCAAGCACTTGGGCCATCCTGCACTGCACTCCCAGGCTACAGCAGAGAGCTGGACTGGAAGAGGAGCAACCGGGACAGAATCCAGTGCCCCAACCAGGACTAGAACCCGGGGTGCTGGCGCCGCAGGCAGAGGATTAGCCTAGTGAGCTGCGGCGCCGGCCTGCAGATCTTTTTTTGAAAAATCAGCAATAGTTTAGAACCAAAGAGCCATGGAACCGAGGCAAGCATTTGGCACAGTGGTTAAGGTACACTTCTGGGATCTGAGTCCTGGCCCTGCTTCTGATTCCACCTTCCTGCTAAGGTGCACCCTGGGAGGCGGCAGGTGATGGCTCGAGTCGTTGTTTTGCCACCACATTCCTGAGTTGCTGGTTCCTGGCTTTGGCCTGGCTCAGCCTCAGGTGTTACAGAGTGAACAAGGAGATGAGCAATCTCTCTCAGAAAGTGGGCTCAGTAGCTCACTCCCCACAGCTCCAGCCCCTGGCAAGAGGAGGGGCACAGGGTCTGCTCCAGGCTGTATGAGGGGCTGCAGGAGCGTGGAGGAAGGGAGGGAAGCGACCATGAGTTTTGGGAATTGAGGCTTTGTTGTCTGTGCTGGTTGGACTGGTGTGTGTGTGTGTGTGTGTGTGTGTGGGCTGCTCCGTGCAGCCACTGTTGGGAGCCATGTCCCCTGCATATGCTTACCTGTGTCCACTCTGCCGTAGTCTACAAAGATCTGCAGCATGACAGAGCCCAGCAGGTACCCAAATGCTGGCCCAAACACGGCAATGGCAAATAAGATGGCTGGCAATGGAAGCAGAGGAAAGGGGGCTGAGATGAATCGAGAGGGTCCGGCAGCTCCTGGCTCCCACACAGAGGGCGGTTCCTGAGCTGTCTTCCCACTGCCCCCCATGCCCATGGTGTCTCCACACACAGCCAGAACCAGTCAAGACTCCAACAGGTGCAGCCGCAAGGTGGCCGCTGCTACAACCAACGGGCTGGGCTCCACAAGCCAGCCCAGGGTGTGCTGATGGGCAAAGCTCCTAGGCGTCCAGGCTGGTGGCGCAGGCAGGACTACTGGGGTCACAGGGCCCGAGGGTGTGGCCTGTGTGGTCTGGGATAGGCCCTGAGGATGCTCTGTGTCTTGCTCTAAGGGGAGGAGCTGGGTATTCCAACGGTAACCTGCGCTCTGGGCAGACATGTGTCTTGGAGGGCTGGCCAGCAGCAGTAGCTGCTGTTGGTATGGGATCTACCCTGTGCCTGGCACAGGCTTAGTACTGGCACGCATCATCCCAGGTCATCCCACAGCCACCAAGCACACAGTACCTGCTCAGCAGGTGGGGAACCCGGGGCCTTGGATCCGGCCCCTTGCCCAGGGCTACCCAGCTGGGAGGTCAGAGCTGGCAAGCAAACCAGGCCTCCATGACTCCAGGCCTCTGCACGCATGGCAGTATCACAGGCACAGAGGGTACAGTCGCTCCCCAGCCCCTTTCCCACCCCCACGCCCGCCCCAGCCCTCCTGACTCACAGATGTACAGGGGTGAGTTGTTGGGCTCCGCGAAGTCGTCCACGTAGGAGATGCCAAATGGCTGAATGGGCACGGTCCCAATGCCGGCCAGCAGCTGGGCGACCACCATCAGCCCCCACATGCTGTGGGTCTCCCCTCGGGGGTCCTGAGTGACGCTTTGGCACTTACTGGGGGGCAGGTCCTGCCCATGCCTCCTGCAGAGCTCGGCCTGGAAACGGCTGCTGTTCACTGCGAGGAGAGCACACCCGGGTCACCACCACCCCGGCCTCCAAGTCTGGCCTTTCTCAGGGCCAGCCCAGGGCCACAGTTCCCCGAGGAGCCCTTCCTGGTGTGTGGCAGGCAGGGGACACTCTGGGAACAAAGGTGGGAGAAGGGCAGAGCGTGCACCCCGACTCCAGCAGCAACCCTACTTGGGTGGAGAGGGCATGGGTGCCCATTCTTTCTCCTCTGCGGCTGCAGAGGGAGCCCAGCATAAAGGGGCTCACTGCCTCCCTCCCAGAAGAGAAGGGTCACCATCTGGAGAGGGGGACTCAAGACCGAAACGCAAGCTCTTGGGTCTGCAGAGGCACCCAGGGCTTTCTTCTGCAGGACAGAGGTCACTCTGCCCCCTAGAAGCCAGTGCCACCTGCAGCCCAGGCTGCGTCCTCTCTGGGTGATCATTCCCAGAGCCGTCACCCATTAAGGAGCGCAGGAGCCTTCATCCGGGACTAACAGAACTGAGGGTCATTCTCCTGGGTGGTGCTCCTGGAGGAAGTACGACCCTGACCGAGGTGAGCCTCAGAGTCCCACGGGGAAGAGAAACGACAGTCGTGAGCCAGGCGTGCTCTGGGGAGGGCGGTGCCCTGCTCGTTGTCACACGTGCCTGGTCTAGCCGCCCCCGCCGCTGCTGTCCTCTACCCCGAGGTTTGTACAGGACATGACTGAATCCTGCTGGCAGGGAGGGGCTCCCCATCAGCCCAGGACACGCAAACGGCGTCTCCGGCAGCTTTCGTCGCTCCAGTGGAGCAGCGGAGGCAGGCTGGCCTCACCCAGGGAACAGGCTTAGTCGGCTCACAGCTTTGGATGCTGAAGGCCCACACAGCAGGGCCCAGGCTCAGGGCAGCGGGAGGGGGACCACAGGGAAGCACGGGGTCCCTTGGCCAAACAGGAAGCCAGAGAGAGGGGAGTGGGGTGGGGCTTTATAACAACCCTCCTGGGAGAACCTCCTAGGAAGGCAACGCCCCCAATGGCCCAAGGACCTCCACCTCCTTAAGACCCACTGCCCCACAGCCGCCATGAGAAAAACCACGCCTCTGACACAGGCACCCTCAGGGGACGCACACACTGTAACCACACCCACGCCATAGAAGGACCAGGTCACTGGATGGCCAGGCTCATCTGGACCCAGTACCAGCGGAGGGCCAGGAACACAGCACTCCGGTGGTGGTCAGCCCCCAGACTTCGGTCAGTGTCCCTCTGCACCTTCCTCCCACTGCATGCCCACTCATGCTGCTTGCCAACGCTGAGCTCAAAGTGGCCCAACCACACTGGGAAAGAACTTTTAGAATGGCACAGAGCGTGGCGGTGGGGTGGCCGGGCAGCTGGAACATCCGGTGAGGGCCGACATCTGGTGGTCTGGAGAAGAGCCTGCTCCCTAACCTGCAAAACTCACAGGGACTCATTGGATGTGCAACGAGGACCAGGCTGTCTCTGGGCGAGGGGACACTGCTGATCTCTCCTGGGGTGCGTCACAGTGGTGGTGTTTTCCACTTTAAAATAAGCACAAGATACTTTCGAAAGACAGCAGCAAAGTTTTCAGATGAGTTTTGTGTAGGTCCTAGGCCTGCAGGGGGCTGACTTCCTCTCCCCTGCTGCCCATCACCGCCTCTCCCTGCTCGGGGATGGGGCCCCTCTCCCACGCATAGGCTCCCCGGCCGAGAGCCACTAAACATTCTAACCGAAGTCAAGTCTGAAGTGGCAGAGGACACAACACACATTTTTGTACAGGTGCAGAAGCAAGGCTTGGGGACCATTCTTCCACCCCTCCCTCATCCTAACACAAGCACCCTCTGCAGGTGGCTGGGACCTTACACCTACTTCCTCCCAGGTGGAGGTGTGCTGGAGAGAGGAGCTGCCTGCTGGGAGTTGTGCTGCAATGCGGAAGAATAAGATGAAAAAGCACACAGCACAGGGAGTCAGGAACTTGGCTTTATCCCCAGGGAGCTGGGTGACTTCAGCAAGTTTCTAAGCCTCTCTGAGCCTCAGTGTCCCTTGGGGCACAGGCCGTTAGGTGGCTGGACAGGGAGATGTTCCACAGGCTCCTGAAGAGCCAGAAGGCTGTGGTTGCAGGAGGAGGCCTCCGCGTGCAGGTCAGCCTGCAGGCCGAAGGCTGGGGCATTCTTCACGGAAGGTGTGGCCCGCAGTGCTGCCGGAGCCCTGCTCAGGACAGCGCCTTCGGTCTGCAAGCCCAGACTCCCGCGACACACAGCCCACAGGGGCTCTCACCCACCCCCAGCCCCACTCCGGAATCCTCCCATCAGCACTGTACAATGATTAGAAAAGGGTGTGGTGCTGCCAGAACCCAGCTTCCAGGCCTGACTCAGACTCCCTATGCCAGTGACCTTGACTTTCAAAGACCTCAGAAAATCCCAGGGAGGGAGCCTGCAAACAGCAGAAGGCAGGCAGCAGCTGTTGACGCAGGCAGGCGGAGTGTTAGGCTCAGGGCTCACTCAACGCCCTCAATGCAGCAGCCACACGGGACGCCTGGGCTGCCTGCTGTTCCGGGTGGATGCGTTCCACATACCATGGGCTGCACTAGGCTTCAGAATGACAGCCAGGAGAGTACCACAGCCCTATGCCCCTCTCCAGACCAGGATTGCTTGGGAATGAGGGCTGAGCTGGCTGCCTGGCCTCAGAAGAGTTCAGGTGCTCACTCAAACCCACCTGACCCACGTGGCTTACTGCCCAGTCATTCAAATCAGCTCCCATCTTCTCCGCTGTGGATGCCCTTCTGAAGGGCCAACACACACTTGGTCCATTAAATAAAACAGCACCAACTCTGCAAATGGACATTACTACGTAAAAATGCACGTACTTTTGGAGTACATGTTGTATGAAGGAACAAGGAAAGCATGAGTTCCCTAAAACCTCTGGCTGTTGTCACTTGCAAGTGTCGCTTGGCTGAGCCACTGCTGTCACTCTCGGTGTGATCGTGGTTCTCTGTGACATGTCGTCTCAGACTACAGAGTGGCAGTTATGTGCACACGTGGTTTAGAGCAAATGACAATAGAGGGAAGGAGGGCCAAAGGCTCAGGCTGGGCTGGCGGCTCAGCCACGGGAAGACAGCGGCAATGCGGATGGCACCTGCCTCACTGGGGGAGAAGCAGAGCACCCGGTCCTGAAAGCACATCTGGGCCAAGTTTCATTCGTTCTCCAGTCCTGTGGCCAACAGGGAGTCGGGTGAGCACCGTCCTTGGGCGGGAGGTGCTCCTCTGCTTTGCAGATGCTTGAAAGAGCAGCCGTGGTGTTGCTTGGTCAAATCAAACCACAGTGCAGCATCACTTCGCACCCAATCAGGCAGCTACGGTCAACACCACCACAGTGTGGGTGAGGGTGTGGGGGAGCCGGAACCCTGAGCGCTGCTGGTGGTGGGCAGGTAAAAGGGTGCAGCCACTGGACAACAGCAAGATCTTCAACAGGTGAAAGATGGAATTTCCGGCCGGCGCCGCGGCTCACTAGGCTAATCCTCCGCCTAGCGGCGCCGGCACACCGGGTTCTAGTCCCGGTCGGGGTGCCGGATTCTGTCCCGGTTGCCCCTCTTCCAGGCCAGCCCTCTGCTGTGGCCAAGGAGTGCAGTGGAGGATGGCCCAAGTGCTTGGGCCCTGCACCCCCATGGGAGACCAGGAAAAGCACCTGGCTCCTGGCTCCTGCCATCGGATCAGCGCGGTGCGCTGGCCGCAGCGCGCTGGCCGCGGCGGCCATTGGAGGGTGAACCAACGGCAAAGGAAGACCTTTCTCTCTGTCTCTCACTGTCCACTCTGCCTGTCAAAAAAAAAAAAAAAAAAGAAAGATGGAATTTCCATCTGATCCAGCACTGGATATAGGCTCAAAATCATGGAAAGCAGGAACTTGGCCACATGTCTGTATTCCCATATTCATGAGAGACACAACTCAAATACCCATCAACAGCTGAGTGGATGACCAAGAGGTATTAACCATGAGATATCCTTCAGCCCTAAACTCAAGAGAATTCTAAAGACACAGAGGGAGAGAGAGGCAGCAAGAGAGCAGGGGCGCACATTGTGGTGCGGTAAGTTAAGCCACTTGCATCCCATATTGAAATGCTGGTTTAAGCCCCAGCTACTCTGCTTCTGATGCAGCTTCCTGCTAACACACCTGGGAGGCAGCTGCTGATGGCTCAAGTATTTGGGTTCCTGCCATGCACACAGGAGACTCAGATGGAGTTCCAAGCACCTGGCTTCAGCCAGGCCTAGCACAGGGCACTGCTGGCCACTTGGGTAGTAAATCAGTAGATGGAAGTCCCATCTCTCTCTCTCTCTGTCTTTTCCCCCACCTTCCTCCCTCCCTCTGTCCCTCTGTCATGCTGTCTTTCAGATAAATAAATAAATACATCTTTTGAAAAAGCTGTATTTCAAAAGATGTATTTATTATTTGAGAGGTAGAGTTACAGACAGAGAAAGGGAGATACAGAGAGAGAGACTTCCATCTGCTGGTCCACTCCCCAGATGGCTGCATCGGTTGGAGCTGCGCTGATCTGAAGCCAGGAGCCAGGAGCTTCTTCTGGGTCTCCCACGCAGGTGCAGGAGCCCAAGGACTTGGATCATCTTCCACTGCTTTCCCAGGCCATAGCAGGGAGCTGGATCAGAAGTGGAGCAGTGGGGACTCCAATCGGTGCTCATATGGGATGCCAGCGGCAGAGGTGAAGGCTTAGCCCACTATGCCACAGTGTTGGCCTCAAATAAATACATCTTAAACAAACAAACAAACAAAAAGCTGAAGGGAATTCTGAGCCCTGCTGCACTGCAGACGGGCTGAGGGCACCAGGCGGCGTGAACGAAGCCACACAGAGAAGACACACGCTGGGTGGCTCCGTGGATTGCAAGCATCCACCACAGCCAAAGGCACAGACACAGAAAGCAGGACAGAGGTGTCTGGGGCTGGGAGAAGGCAGTGAAGCGCTGGTGTAGCGGAGGAGAGCTTCAGTCTGGGCCAGTTGCACAACAATGCCA